CTATTTGTGTCTCCACAGAATGGAGAAGGTCGCTGGGTTCCCGTCCGCTGGGTTCGAGAACTGGCGACAGGAGCGGATGCCGAGAAGGTGGCGGAAGCGAGGACGCCGCGGATGTCAACCCAGAAGGCTGAAGAGGGAGAATAAGAAGCGGATCTCTCACTGTGTTTTTTCTTTAGCCTTTCTTAGTCTTGGCCTTGGGTGGGGATTACCCGTTGGCGCCGAAGGGCGTTTGGCGAAACACCTGGTTGCACAGCTAAATCACACTGCTAAGCCCTGGAATAATCTTAACCAGGAGTATACCTATTGGGCACTAGTACGACACTTCCCCCAACCACGTCCAGTTACTTGGAATGGGGATCCTGTTCCCCTAATTGTAGTTTCCAATGCATCACTTCTTATGGGCGAAGGGGTGGGACGGCCAGTTATTTCCCATCTTCAAAATAAGACCATTATTATGAGGAGTCCCACACTACCCATTTGCCTCAGCAAAGGTACCCATGCCGGTTGTGCTCGAGTAGAAAATGATACTATCACTGAGTTACCGCATGGACCCCACGGTTGGATAGGGAAAGGGGATCATTTACACTTTTATGTATTGCAACATCAGCATAGTACTATTAGCGGGTTTTTTCCCTCTCCACTCCCTCTTTGCACCCCTTCCCCTAACATGTTTGCAGGCTTCCAAGTCTGTTCTACAGGGCATCAAGTAGGTGGCGAAAACGTGAATGGGACTCAACTCTACTTTCTGGATGGACAACCGGGTCCTTGGTTTGCGGCCCCGGTACCCCATGTGAGAAGCCCTCGAGGAGTTATAGCCCATGTACATCTGTGGAAACTGGCTGCTGCCTTTGGCCCCTTGATCCACTTCACAGATAACAGTGCACCTCTATCTGACAACAGCACTCTTCGGAACTGGTGGTGGGACTTGTTATTTTCAGCAGGGCGTTCTTGCCATTGATTCTTTGATTAAGAACTTGACTGACTTTGAGCAAATAGAAGATTGCCTTGGTCAATTGGACACTATTTTGGAGCATATTCGCAATGTCACCCGTCAAACAAGGGATAATCTCTTCCCTGATTCCCCTTTCGATCAATTTTTCAACTGGTTACATAACCTGGGATTTTCGCAATTCCTTCTTTGGCTCATTTATGGTGCAGGCTTCCTGATCCTTATCTGCTTTATGGCCCCTTGCCTTTTCTTTTGTTGGCTCCGTGTGCTGCGACGCTCTCTTGAGAACGTCAAAGCCGACCTCTCCCTCCCTAAGAAAAACCCTGTCTTTGTTTAAACAAAAAGGGGGAATTGACAGGGGCGTCCTGGACCCTGGCTTCCTAGGAAGGGCGTGGAAGACCCTGACCGTCTCAGATGACGGTTACGAGGAGGCTCCGCCTCTAGGGTAGAACAGGGGAGGGGCGCAGAGTCTTACGAGGCTCGGGAGGAGGGGGTCCTTGAAGTGTATATAACGGGCTGAGAACAAAGGATCGGGGGGGGATCCTCCACAATAAAGAGCATACACCACACTCGCGTACTGTCTGGTCCTTGAGCCCACCCTTCCCCCAGGGTGGGTCCGGAGACGTCCGAAGCCCAGCTCCCAGGGGAGGAGGCGTACCTGAAGGGCCCAGCCCGGGTCAGAAAGCCTTAGGAATCTTAAAGGTCTGGGTCCTCAAGGCACTGAAAACCTCTATGACCTCAATGTTAATGACACACATAGAGGGTACCTGCTAAAGAATACAAGACTTTCTGAATGGAGTTTAAGATTAAATCAGATGCTCTCTACATTCCTTCTATCTCTAAGTATTTTCTAAGTTGAAACATTCAAAACCAGACAAACTGGTCAGTTAGCTATGTTTGCCTATTAATTGTTTTTTAGAGTTATGTAGAAGTTATATAGAATATTTATAAAGTTCATACAAATGGAAGAAAGCCTGCTAAATTAGTTCATTTTCCACTCTAACTTAGAAAATGATGAATATGTATAAAAGCCAAGAAAGTCAAAGATTATACTTACTATAAATCTATTTTAAGTTTTCCTGTTTGTTACGATTATACTGTGATTTCTAAGGGATCTCAAAAGTGCAAGATAAGTTTTGATAAAGTTCAAAGAGGGCAGCAGTACTTAAATTAAGGTAAGAAGCTACAAATCAAGTCAGTGTGGATCTATCTCTGATCAGAAAATTATTGATAACAAATGTAATCTGACCACTTAGCTCTCTATTTAAACAGGCATAAAACATTTTCCCCTTGAGATTTTACAAGAGACACTGACAAATTACAAAATTTGTTAGAAATTAAACTTTTAAAAAATTCACTTTAGTTCAAGTAAAAAGAGGGAAATTATTCCAAAAATTTTAAATCCTAATGATGGATCTTCAACTTTTTCCCATTGTAGACTATTTAAGAAACAGAGGATATAGGATATAGATTAGACCTCATGCAAATAAACAAGATTTTTTTTCTATAAAAGAGGCTAAATCCAAACTACAAGCAGATCTAGTACTAGTGATAATGAATTAGAACCAGTCAAGCAAATGAGTCCACTTTACCTGAGTATAATTTAATCTTGAGATTAGTAAGAACCCTGTAAAAGATCATGCTACTCAAAGATAAAACCAGAGATTTACTAAAAATACAAGCAATTTGTTGTAGGCTCTACAACCAGAGAGGTGATTCAGTTTTAGTGAAAAATCTGAGTTGGGTACAGAGAGTGGGTGGAAATAGCAGTATTTGAAATGCAGTGGCTTCCACGTATACCTTTGCCACGCCAGGGGGCTTTTCCATCCCACATCAAAATGCCAGCAGCACTGGGAAAAAGGGGATATGGAATCACAAGTTGCCCCTAAATAGAAATGGTTAGACTTTAAAGATTTGAAGACAACTGCCTGCCCTATTATTACTTTTAAATTAATGATAAATTACTAACAACTAAACATTAAAGTGAATTAAAACAGAGCTTCCTATTTGGATGTACTGATATAAAATGCTATACCTAATGTAATTTATCAAACCAAAATTTAGAAATTACTATTTTCCACATTAAAATAAATGCTTTTAAAAAACAAATTGACAAAGTACCTAGAAAAAGGTTAAAAAAAAAACAAAAAACAACCAAAACAAAACCCCACATTTTCCATTAGGAAAATATTATTTGTGTGTGTTAGAATCTAATAGCCAATTTCATGACATAACAGCTTATATAAAATCTTCCATTTAAGTCCCATTTCCATGCCCCATGGCATACAGGCAAGTGATTTTAGACTCTTTGAAGTCTAGCCAAGTGAGTAAATGAAATTTGTTAAGTTAATGCTGCAGTTGAATTAACTTATTACATGCAGTTAAAACTACACTAAGACTTTGGGGATCTTATATATGAAATAATTCCATTAAATTCATAATTCTTTATATTTGATTTAAATTGGTATATTTGGCTATCTAACCTAATTGTAGGATTTCACATTAAATCATGTTGATGGAACTGAATTAAATCATATTTTTAGTCTCTAGTCAGTGAAGTTGAGAGCAAATAAATGTAGTAAAGTTCTACATTTCAAAGGTAGAAAGTAGCCCTGAAAAGGGCTAGGCAGTACAAGATAAAAAAGACATGGCTGGATGCAGTTTATGTGAAAAAGACAGCATAACGTGGATGTCAAAAGAGCTTTTGATTTTAGGCTCTAGGAAGTACAGATCATATCCAAAGTTGCTCTGGTTGGACCAAAGAGGCAGTACTGTGTAGTTCTAGACACCATATTCTGGAAATAACATTAGTAAGCAATACTTATATTAGCAAACCATCCAAAGGAAGGTGACTAGGACAGTAAGGAGACTGGAAAACAGGCCACATAAGGAACAGCTTAAAGAACTGAGGATGCTTATCTTAGAGAAGATTAAGAGGCAGGAGGTGAGAAATGAAAGTAGTCTTCAAATATCTGAAGATTTGAATGTGGAAAAAGAATTATTCTGCTTGGCCCCAGAGGAGATAAACAGGTAGAAACTTCAGAGAGGCAAATTTCAGCTCAACACAAAGAAAAATTTTTCTCAAAATTACAGATATGCAAAAATAGAATGGGGTACCTTGGACATAAGAGTTCCTTAGGCTCACAGTTAGAAATGCAAGGATATCAGAGGCCATCTAATCCAAACACCTCATTTTGCAGCGGAAGAAACTGATGCACAAAGAAAATCTTTCATTCTCCCCTTCTACCATTTTAGCCAATCTGATAGGTGTAAGTTAATATTTCAAAGTTGTTTTAATTTGCATTTCTCTAATCAACAGTGATTAGGAACATTTTTTCATATAACTATATATAGTTTTGATTTCTTCAACAAAAAACTGCCTGTTCATATCCTTTCACCACTTATCAATTAGGGAATGACTCATATTCTTATAAATCTCACTAATTTCTTCACAATATTGGAGGTATGAGACCTTTATCTGAAAAATCGTTTATAAAAATTTTCTCCCAATTTTCTGTTTTCCTTCTAATCTTGGCTACACTGGTTTTATCTGTTTATCCATAAATTCTTTTCCTATCCATAAGTCTGATAGGTAAGAAAATTAGAACATGGAACATATTACCTATCAGACTCAGGGATAGGAAAAGAATTTATGAATAAATGAGAGACAGAAAGTATTGTGAGACATAAAATGGATAATTTCAATTAAATTAAATTAAAAAGGTTCTGTACAAATAAAACCAATGTGATCAAGATTAGGAGGAAAGCAGAAAATATGGAGAAAAATTTTATAACCAGTCTTTCAGATAAAGGTTTCATATCTCTCTATTATCCTTTTCATGCTCTCTTTTTACCCTATCCCTCCTCACAAGTCTGATTTACTTCTAACCACTATGTCCCTAATCTGCCCCCTTTTAAAGAATCTGTCCCTTATCCTCTCCATTTATTCTCCTATTCCTAAATCTCCCCATTCCTCTTAAGAATTTCTCCTTTATCCTTTTCCCCCACCCTCAAAAGAGAAATTTTTTTTTAATAAAAACTGATATCTTACCTCACTAGCAGCTCCCTAAAGTAGCAGTAGTTGGGAAAAAATAAAAAGAATTTAAAAATTAATTATTTCACATTAAAACAAACAAACAAAAAAACCTGAAAGGGATGAAAACGTCCCAAGCCTAGTTAGGGTAACCCATGGCAATCACTTTTGATTAATATATCATATCTTGGATTGTGTATGTATAATATTTTACAAAATTTTCTTTCCAAAGAAGTGAGTTTCTTAAATTAACCATATAATTCAAAAAGTGCATATGGTAGTCTTTATAGTATTAAAGCTAGCAAAATCAGCTTCAAAATTATCACTGTGAAAAGAAACATTAAAAATCATCAATCTAACAGTAAAGTGCCGCTCAGTACTATGGTGCCATTCTGTTAGCGCTTTAATAACATGTTCCCTAAGAGTTAATATTATTAGCCATAAAAGCTAACAGTCAATATCACATACTGCTATATCATTAATTCTGCATGTTTTGCTTTCAGTAAATAGCCATCATACAGAGCTACCAAATAAATGAAAACTTAAATACTCTCCATTAATGAAGGCCTTGAAGAAAAGAAGTGGAATGATGACTTTACCTGTTCTACCCAGTTGCTCTACCACCCACCCTGACCAACACAATCTGGAATAAGAAAAACAAAAGAAGGGAAGAGAAGGGGAAGAAGACAGAGTAAAATGTAACACAAGACAAGTGACCTATTCAGAAGTAAAGAAACAGAATAAAAGCCATAAAAATAAAAAAGCATAAAAACCAGGTTCTCTGACTCCAACTGTATGGGCAGCATTAACACTAAATGCCACATTACTTCAATACTGGTAATATGAACATTTGTCTAGTTTAATTGAGTCTCTACTTAATTTACTACCATACCAACATTTCAAAAGGCAGTTTAAAAACCATTTTGGCAAAAAATGTAAATATGTGTATGTATACGTATATGTGTATATCTGTGTGCGTGTCTTATCTATATCCCTGATCCATTTATATCACCTACACTTTTTTTCTTTTTTTGGCTAGGCAATGGGGTTAAGTGACTTGTCCAGGGTCACACAGTAAGTGTCTGAGACCACATTTGAATTCAGGTCCTCTTGACTCCAAAGCCAGAGCTCTATCCACTGCGCCACTAGCTGTCCTATATCACCCATACTTAAGAAAAATGGTATCCGGTAAGAATTCCACAATTACCAAACATACAGCAATTTCCCATATTATACCTAAACTGGTTTACTGATGAGCTGAGGCCAAGACATTTAAATTATCCTTGCTTTCTGGAAAGACAAAAGGAAGCACTGTGGAAGATTTCAGTTCTCATTATCTTGATAACCTTTATACTGGACAATAAATACTTGCTACTAACATCATGCAAAGAACTATATTTGGAAATTTTTACTCACAAGCCTGAACTCATTTTTGGAATTTACTTTTCTTTTTGGTTTAAAATACCTGTCACTTATTTTATAGGAGTATTTAGACTGATGACTTATGAATCTGCATGTTTGCTGCCTCTATGGTACCTTGTTATGAGCTATATAACTAAATAAATACTGTTTATTAAATACGGAGTTCTTGAATAAGCCAATCTTGGGCAACTAGGTGGTACAACAGATAGAGTGCCGGGACTGGAATCAGAAACTCATCTTCCAGAGTTCAAATCTGACTACAGACATTTAGTCACTTGTATGACCCTAGGCAAGTCACTCAACCCTGTTTGCTTCAGTTTCCTCATCTGTAAAAGGAAATGGCAAAGCATTCCAGTATCTCTGTCAAGAAAACCCCAAATTAAGGTCAGAGAGTCAGACATGACTGAAATGACTAAACAACAAAAGGTTCTTCTATTCAACCTATAAAGTGTTAACATACCTATAAAGAAGTCTACTGTATGACATACTGTGTACATCACCACTCCTACAATACAATTTGTATCAATGAAAAAGAGCTTTAGATTTTAATTCAATTCAGCCAACCTTTATAGCAGGCCTATACAACATATGGCTTGAGGGCCACTTGTGGCCTACCAAAGAATTTCAGTTGGCACAAGAAAAATGTAGAGAACGTAAAAGAAAGTTGTAATGAGTGCTTTGTCCACGCCCCTCTTACCTGCCTTCCACTAGTCATTATTGTGCACATCAAGTAACTTGTCAGGTGAGTTGCCACCGAACACTCTCTCCTGCTTGTTATGTGACCTGTGGCAACTAACTAACCACTGTCAGTCTGTCTGCAGTCTGAGAGGAGTGAGTCATATCTTTTCACTGTGTTTTCAGTCATTACTGGTGATGAACAGGGCTAAAGTGAGTGCCGCCACGCCAATCAATAAACAACAATGTGAGGGCTTTTTCCCCTCCCTTGTTGCTTGGCCACCTTCCCCACATGAGTGTCTGGCGCTCTCTCCAAGGTCAGACACTGAGTTCAGTACTTCTTTGTATATGAGCAGTTGCTGGAGATTTTTCGGTTCTAACATTAAAATTTTTGGGGGAGACTTTGTAAAATGGATGATAAAAAGAAATGGAAGATCGAAATCAGAACACAGAGTACTTTATCTGGAGTGGACAAATACGTACTTGTTTACTTAAACGAGAGGCAAAATATTGTGCCTTGTGTGCTGAGAATAGCTGTTCTGAAGGAATATAATCTTCATCGCCATTTCGAATCAGAACATCCTGACAAGCAAACTGGACACCAATGGAAAACAAATTAAAGCATCCAAATTGTTGAAAAATCTCCGTGGGGAACGACGATTTTTCAAGAAAGTAAACTCAGAAAATGAGGAGGCCACTAAGGTTAGTTTTCAAATTTCTAAAGAAATTGCTGCTGCTGGGAAGTCTTTTACTGAAGGTAACTTCATAAAAGTGTTTGCTGATTGCAGTTTCTGGATTATGTCTCACTTACCGAAGTAATTTTTTTAAACATTAATGTGATTTCATGATAAATAAAAGTCTTAAGTAGTAAGTATAATTGATATTAATTGAAATTTCCCTTTTTAAAAAGTATAGCTTATTTGCAAAATAGATTAATCATTAATTTTACCTTTACTTGCAAAGTGAGCCACTAAAAACCCATCTGTGCCCAGAAGGAGCTTAGCCTATTTTAATTTTGGCTCTACCTACTACCAAGTTGTCCAGGTCTGCTTTACAGGATGGAGTCAATACTATATGCAAGGAGCTGGGGGTGTAGCACAAAAAGTAGAAATTCTCTGCCCCCAAGATTACAAGTTACTGAGGGATACAATGTGTACACATTGAAGTAAACACAGATTAGGTACTTAAGGTAGAGTATCATCCCACCTTTCTGTCGTCCTCTAGTCTTCTCAATTGTGGTCAGACTCTTCCTGACCCCATTTGTGGTTTTCCCACCACTCTACTGTATATAAATCTCAACATCTTAGGACCTTAAGTTACTTAAAAAAAAAAGACATGTTATTTTTTGGTGACATTTCTTGTCATTTTAAAGGTTTGGCAAGGGAATGCAAGTTCTAAAAAGGGAAGGTAATTTTTTTAAAGCATCACTCCTGACCTGTCTTCAGAATATTGGAGCTATATTATTTGTTATTATTGGGTCCTTTTCAGTCATGTTTGACTCTTCATAACCCCTTTTGGGGTTTTCCTGGAAGACATACTGGAGTGGTTTGCCATTTCCTTCTCCAGCTCATTTTACAGATAAGGAAACTGAGGAAAAGAGAGTTAAGCAACTTGCCCAGTGTCATGTGAACTCAGTTCTCCTTGACTCCAGGCCCAGTAGTCTATCCACTGTACCTTCTAGCTGTCCTGTAAGAAGGATGGGAGATTTCTAAAAATAGAAATAAACAGTACTATGATTAAGAGTAAGTGTAGATGGGTCATGGTTGCCATGCCTGTAATTCCTTGTTCCTGGGGAGGCTGTTGATAGATTGAATCAGCTCAGGAGTTGTGAACAGCAAAAAGGCTTAAGTCTCCTGGGTATCTGAACTAAGTCAATATTGTATCAATACTGTAAACCACAAGGCTACCTAAGAGTGGTGGGAAGAGCCAGCCTAGGTCAGTGAATGGCTGACAACTGCAGCCTAAATTAGAGATGGAGCTCCACTTTTCCCTATCCCTTCCCCCCCTCTAAAAGTAAATATGTTTATAGTTATCCTAAGTAATACTATCACAGGTTCATAGATCTAGGGCTGAAAGAGACCTCAAAGACCATCGAGTTCAACTCTCATATTACTAATGCGAAAAAAGCATCTAGCCCAAGGGTCACACAGGTAATCTATGAGATGGGATTCCATCCCAAGTCCTCAGACTCCACACACAGCCAGTGGGTCCCTAAAGGGGTAAAGTGTCTGCGATAGTTTGTCTTCCCCTTCCCCTATATAATTTAATATAGGCAAAGAAGGGGTTGTGGACAAATTGGGAGAGGTTTTCCCACCCTCCAGCCTAATCTTTATCCATACAATGCTACTGTGTGTGTGTTACATAGCAGAGAAAAGGTTGCATCAAAACCCTGAAGGGATTACAAGGTATAGAATCATCAAGCCCATGCCTGTCCTTGTTTGCTGAAGTCTAGCTAAGCTAAAAGGTCACAAAGATGGGTGTCAGGACTAGCCCCAAACTAGTGCCTTGGAACTACACAAATCAGACTTCATTTTCTCCAATTTTATTTATCCTGGATTTAAAAAAAAATCAGTCCTCTCGTTTTTATTTCCTTTTGAATTTGCTGCCAAGTAACTGTAACCAAAGGAAGGAAGTAGCTGAACAGTAAACTGAACTACTGAGACCAAGAAAACAAGATGGCAAGCAAGAACGAAAATCTCAGATGGCAAGCTTAGGGAGTGAAGACCAAGGGTTCTTTTTTCCTAGTTCCAATGAGTAAACAACTATGACAACAACAACGATAGCACTGGCACGACCATTTCAGGTGCTTTCAACAATGACATGACCTTCTGAAGCAGCCCTGTGAGAAGGGCAGGCCTCTAGCAATGGGGGCTGCCAACCACTCCTGATGAGGAAAGGCAGGCTCAGAGAGGTGCCCACAGCGGCCCGGGGTCACAGCGCTGGTGGGCTGCCCCAGCTGAGGCAGGGGGCCCTGCCAGGGCTTCGGGCTCCACGTCCTGAGAGCTTTCCCTTCTGCCCCTGACACTGCCTATTTTTAAACCAGTCACGGGATGAGGTGAAAGGGATCCCCACGATTGGACTTTCGTACGTGACCTTGCAAGAACTAGCCCGGGGCGCAGGGCTGAGGCCCCAGGGGCCAAAGGGGCCGGAGGACTCCCGACCCAGCTGCCCCCTGCCCTGGGCTGGGGCAGAGAAGAAAAAAAGCCCGGGCCCTTTCAGCTCGGGAAGCGGGAGTGGGGGGGAATGTGCAACGCTAACAACCGTCCCCCCGGCCCGAGCGTAGGACAGGCTCTCCCGCCAGAGTCGACCGGGGGCGCTGACTAATGAGGGCCTCTGCTCCAACCCTCCTTCTTCGAACTCCTCACCGGTTTCTGGGAGGCGCCAGTCAGCACGCGGGAAACGATAGCGAGCATTTTCCGCATGGAGCGGTAGCGGCGGCGACGGAGAGGTTGTTGGCTGGCGGCGGACGGAGCCGGAAGGGACCGTGTCCGTGTCCGGAGTCTCCTTCAGGAGCCGGCAGCGGACGTAGCGCCTCTCCCGGGGAAGGAGGAGGGAGGAGAAGAAGTAGGGACGGAAGTGACGATACCGCGCCTCCACGCTGCGCCGCCGAGGCCGCGGAGCAATCAAAGGAGTTCCCGGGAGTCCCCCCGCCCCCTCCGTGCGTCCGCTACGTCGGCGGCTTTTAAACAAGCGAGCGGCCCTTAGCCTGCCTCAGTCTGTGTGTGTGTGTGTGTGTGTGTGGGGGGGGGGGGGGTGCTCTCCGTGCTCAGGGTTCAGAGGTTTCGTGAACTTGGATGGGGAAAAAAAACAATCACATCTTTATTATTACTAATTTGTTTTTTCTTTTCTAAGGTTACGTCTGTTATGTGTAGGAGTGGCGTACGCAGTGTGTTGATGAAGAGAGATCTCCAGGGCCTCTTTCCCCTCCCTTTCTCCCAGGAAAGCTTGAGTTCCCGCCCGGAAGAGAAGCGGGAGCTTGGGGCAGAGGCCGGTTAGTTACCGCTCTGCTCAAAGAGAGGGATTTTGTGGTTATTCAGTCGTGTCCAACTATACGGGATCCCGTTTGGGGTTTTCTTGGAGAAGATACTGGAGCAAACCGGTTTGCCATTTTCTCTCCCAGCTCATTTGACGGACGAAGAAACCGAGGCAAACAGTTAAGTGACTTGGCCAGGGTCACACAGCTAGTGTCTGAGCTGGATTTGAACTTGGCTATTCCTGACTCCAGGTCTCCTTCACAGAGCCGCCTACCTGCCCTTAAGGGGTATGGGGCTACAATTACACCTTTCCGTTCCCTTAAATATTATTAGTCAACGGGAACCAATTTTTAGGTTCAGGATGTACTTCTGATTGGCATCTCTTCATAAGGAAAGGAATGCCCCAAGCTATAATCATATTAAACACATGATTGCATATGTTTAATAGTGGTTTTATTTCAGTGTCTCAGGTACCTTTAGATTTCTCTGTTAGTTTATCTCTTTTGACTTTTTGACTTTTGACTTTTACTTTCAGATCGCTGTGGTTGCCTGGCTAATAAATGCTTATTGAATTGCCACCTCAGAAGGAAGTCAGCCACCAGCATTGTTTATTCTGACCCTTCCCAGTTGATGAGCTTACCTGATATCACTTGTGAATCTAGTTTGTCATTCTTAGAGGGGCTTCCTCTTCAAAACATATACTCCCTTCTCTTTTGGTAGAGTCTGAAGTTCTTACATATGTTTATTAGTCAAGGATTCAGTGGTCTTTAGTCTTCCTTTTCCCCTCTGTGTGACATGCTTCTACTCTTAAGTCTCTTGACACAGGTCAGGAGTACCCTCTCCTTTTTAATGTGCTTTTTCTTCTAGGTGTTCACATGGAAGCATTAAGGGGGTGTTGGGTTTTTTTTTTAAAGGAACACATTTTTGAGCCCCTTACCTTCTAAAAATGTGATGAGACTATATGTGAGCATAGATAGCAGTCATTTAGCTGTGGCAGAGATATGAACATAGCCTACTCAATCTAGGTCCCTGCAAAATTGTGCCTGTTCTCCTGTATGCCTACTGGAAATGAAATCCTCAGTCCTCGTCTTTTCTTGCTATCAGCTTTCTTGTAGGACTATTGTGGCAGATTGCTTGTGGGTGTTTCACCTATTAGATTGGTGGATATGACAGAAAGGGAAAATGACAAATGTTGGGGGGATGTGGGAAAATTGGGACACTAATGCATTGTTGATTGAGTTGTGAACTGATCCAGCCTTTCAGGAGAGCAGTTTGGAACATTGCCCAAAGGACAATCAAAGTGTGCGTAGCCATCCACATCCCTAAAGTCCAGTAATGATGTGGTTTACGGGTGTCAGGAACCCCAAAATGTCAGGGTACAGGGCAATATCACCTGGAATGAATTCATGAACTCAAACTGCCTTCTAGTCAAGTGGCAAAGTTTATTGTGACACTTATAGAAGTGGGCAAAGTTCTTAGGGAACCTGCAAACTGATTGGACTGATGCTAAACCTTATATAGAAAAGGGGACAGGGAGAGGGATGTATGGGAAAATTCAGGGAGTCAACAGAAATAGCTCTGTTGATATCAGATATTGGGAGAGAAAGGACAAGATGGTTCTGTTCCAGGTGCCAGAGACAGAGTCCTTGGATAGCCACCCTGTGCCTACACTGATAGCTTTTATCTGAGGAATTACAGGGTCAAGTCTGTATGTGCTTGAAACAAGAAAAGGTTTTCTCACAGGGGCTTACTGAGATATTGCATTGCTTCCAGAGACATTGTCTTTGCCTTTTGGGCTCCCATCAGCAATACCGAAGAGATTATGAAAAAGGGAAAAGGACCTACATGTAGAAAAATATTAATAGCAGCTCTTTTTGTGGAGGCAAAGAATTGGAAATTGAGGGGATGCCCATCAATTGGGGAATGGCTGAACAAGTTGTGGTATATGAATGTAATGGAATTATGGAATTGTGCTATAAGAAATGATGAGCAGGCAAATTTCAGAAAAACCTAGAAAGACTTACATGAACTGATGTAAAGTGAAGTGACAGAACCAGGAGAACGTTATACGCAGTAACAGCAACATTGTGTCATGATCAACTATGAATGACTTAGCTCTTCTTAACAATACAATGATCCAAGACAATTACAAGGGACTTGTGATGGAAAATGCTATCCACATTAAGGGAAAGAACTAATGTAGTCTGAATGCAGATTGAAGCATACTATTTTCACTTTTTTTCATATTTTTCCCCTTTTAGTCTGTTTTGTCTCACAACATAACTAATATGGAAATATGTTTACATGGTTATACATATATAACTTCCTCTTCAAAAATAACCTCTGTGTGTAGTAGGAGCTGCCCCACTGGGGATCCAACTGAATTGACCAGTTAGGCAACACAACTTTTTTTCTTTTCCTTCCTTCCTTCCTTCTTCCGGGTGTTCTGCCCAAAGAATGTATATTTTGATCACTGAAACCTCCCAAGATATCTTGGAGTTTCCCTGCTATATTTCTTAAGGACCACGCATTAAACTCAAATCACTCTTGACTCTTATTAAGTCAACTATAGGTCCCAGGCTAAGCTCCACTGGGTCACTGATTGAGCCCTGATTGGCTCAGAGTGAATGTAAATAGCAATTGTTTCTGTTGTGGCCAAAAACCTTGAGAATCTTTCCTCCCAGATTTTTTTTTTTTACTAGGTGAAAGACCCCATCCCTTGCCACCTTTCTTACCTAGCCTTAATTACTGAATTCGAGTTGCTTCAGACAAACAGACCTGGAAAAGACCTTAGCTTAAAAAAGCCAAGGTCTCCAACTGCATCTAGGGCCATTTCCAAGTCATCCTGATCTATATCTTGCCATTGGACCCAGATGGCCCTGAAGGAGAAAGCTCCCTCACTTAAATCCAGTTCACTTTCATGTCAAGGTATTACCTCCCTGATATCATGGTCCTCTTGGAGCGGGAAGGACAAACAACAATGACTCCATTAACACTTTCACAGTCAGGTAATCCTCTTTTTTCCCACCCTAATCTCACCAACTGTTAGTACTTTGTTTAATTTACTTTAGTACCTGCTTACAGTACAGTTAGGATTACATAGTTTTACCAAATTTTCAGTCTTAAATAAGTGTTAGTTATCATCACTAGCTACATTCTCTTCCTTGAGTCTTCCTCTATCTGCTTCTCGTTTAGCTCAAGTGCTTTGCTACTTATACTGCTTCTCTGTGTGCCCCCCTCCCCCCATCCTTCACATTTTGTTCTGCCTTTCTTTCTCTTCAGGTCTTTCTGCTTGAATCCTTCCTCACCTTGAGTCATTTTCCTTCTTCAGCTCTGATGAGAATGGTATCTAGACCCCAAAAAGGAAGAACCCTGGACTTTCCCACATGACCAAATCTCTGACGTTTGCCTGAGGCTATAATCCCATCAACTGGCCTTTCATTGTGGCTACACCCAATCTCCCAATTCTGTTACCCTTAACCTAGCCTAGCCCTCCCTATGACCCCAGGCCACTTCCCACCCTTAATCCTATCTAGGCTCCATTCTCCCTTGGCCACTTGGTCCAGGTCCTTGGAGTTCTATTATCTCATAGGCTACTTGGCCACTCCTAGATCCCTCCCATAGTTTTTCTGTAGATAAGGTCCATCTTGTCTCCATTAAGATGCTCAAATTCTTGTAATCTAGCTAATAGCTCACTGATGTTCAGGCTCCTTAAGAGTTTGCCCAATATGACAGATGTTCTAATAAACCTTGCCTTTGGCTGAAGGAAGGCTTGGGTCGAATTCTTTCTTGATGTTGCTGCCGTTCCCAGGACTCTTGTGCCTGTCCATCTTCCAGTTGATAGTAGTTGGTCAGCAGTTGTTGCTAATGGTGATGAGGAAGGTGAGGCTTTTCTCTACCGTGACTTTTCCTCTCAATAATGGTTGTGGGGGCTGGGGTTTGAAGCAAGTCTAGAATTTTGGGGGACACTGCTCTTGCATTTAGGGTCTTGGGCTGTCTCCATTTGTTTCTGAAGGGTAAGTTAATTTTCCTAGGATATGCTTCCTCTCTCTCCCTCAGGGTATTTTTTTTTTACTAGAAAGTAATTTAAAAGTATAGAAGGAGGGAGAATAAATGGCTTGTTTTGAAAGAATGATGATTGTCAGTGTTCTTTTTATAGCCTTCTTGGAAAAAAATTGTCCTTAATTAAACATATTAAACAATTAAACATAAAAGTATGTTTACCTGTCTTGGCCTGAGTTTCTTTATCTGTAAAATTAGAGTGTAGCACTATACAATATATGATCCTTTTCAGTTCGAATATTGTAAAATAATCCTAGGATTGGTGCTTTTTGTTGTTGTTATTTGTTTTTGAAGATAATCCACTTAATGGGAAAAAGTGGGTCACCTATATAGAAAATTTTATATTTTTCATTGTTGCCTCTAGTGGGCAAAGGAGACAAATGAAGTGAAGTTTAATAAGAAATAAAATAGCAGTAGTAGGGGGCCCATGGCAGAGGTATCTCAGTGCAGAATGCCAAAGCATTCTAATTTTTGTTGGTCTAGACTACA